AAACAATTTATCCCGAAACTCTATAACGATACGTCGTATAAAGAATCATCGTATAAATTCCAGGATGTCCACACACAAGAAACGTCATCACTAAAGAATCATCGTATAAAATGCCCCCTGTCCACACACAACATTTTCCGTGATTCTTTATACAGTTTCGCGATAGTGATAAGAGGTCTGGTCTCATTTCGCTCGAGGTCACGTTAAGCCCCGCCCAGTTAGTTACACTAGTTACACTCCCCCTGTCCACACACAACATTTTCCGTGATTAGGCGTGATTCTTTATCGAGTTTCAGTTCGAAACGATGCCCAAACCTGCGTTTCGTTAGACTAGTTTCGTTATACGACGTATCGTTAGTGAGCGTCCACACCTACAATTTTGGTCGTAAAACTATCGCGAAACGGTATAGCTAATCATGATTAGTCACAGAAAATGTTGTGTGTGGACAGGGGGTATGTGTAATTACCGTGTTGATGTACTCTACACTTGATGGTTAATGATAACCTCCTATAAATATACTTAATTTTTCCAAGAAACAAACTGGAAAAAAAAGGGCAGGGAAGCAGGTTGGAAACGACTGGTCAGCTAAGTGGTTTCCTTGTCTAAATAGGAAGTGAGAACCGCCGGAATGATAAGGAAAGAATGACAGAGAATCAGGTTTAATAATTAAGATAAAGATCACCGACAGATTTCTTTAAAGGCCCACCGCACTACTTGTAGCTATTTGCGCCCTCTATATAACAAACAATGCCTCATCGGTGACCATTGGTCCCCCATAATCCTCTTTTTCTTATGTTAACTGAGAGCTGAGTTGATGAGATAACCACCTGTCCAGTGACCTTGCAGGGCAGTCTTATCCCTCCTGTAAACTACGGCAGATAAGCTTTAAAATTCAAAATGCAAATCATTCAAATCAACTCTTTGTTTTTACCAAGAGCCAATTCATTCTGTTTATTTGTGCACTGTAAGGTGTGCTGCAGCTCACCTAAAATGTCTTTTTTTTTAAATTCTCTTCACAGTCAATAAAATCTTCTGCTGTTTAAACACTTTCATCACAGCTAAATTGAATTTGTTTAAAGCATTACTGCATTCATGATATGTGATTAATATAACTAATGAATTATACCTTTAGTACCTCATAATAAAGTTTATATAAAAAAAAATCATTACTTTAGATATCCTGTTTGATATGTTTGAAATCGACTCCCTGAACTACTTCAGGTTCTCAACTTCACACTTTTCATAAAAGAGCATTTTTAAAAAGAAAATTGGGACTCAAATTTGACACGGTAATGATTAATGTATACATCTCAATATGATGTAACTCAAGTCTTCAAAATTAGGCCCATTTACACATCCCGGCGAAACACCATTTTGGAAAAAATCATTGACCACTGGGAAGGAAAAAAAAGTCAATGTTTGCTCATACCAATTGTCGCTACTCTTTCTGTGATTGCACAGAAGCAAGGAGAGTCACAAGACAAAATACCAGAATCTTAACGATTTAAACTGCAAAAATCAGTGAAATTTTGGCAGGCATTAAAAAAAAATGCACTCCAAAGGTGGATTTTTCAATTTCGTTTTTTGTTGCCGTGTTTGCCGGTGTTTAGCCACGATTAGCCAAGACAAGAAAAACCAAAAGTGAGAAAAATTGATGATTTTTGCTTACACTGTAATTGCAGCTATTGAGAATGAATATGATCTTATAACATCCACTGGGATTGTAACCGAGTCTGAAGTTCAACAAGCACTGTTGAAGATTGGAGGAGAGGCACGCAGTGTTGTACACTGAGAGTGACAGGTGCGTCTTTATGATACTCCAAATTCAATTTTATTGAATTAACAGTCAACAAGTTCACGATGCGTCAGCCACTTGTGAATTAATGATGGACGATTTGTGCCTAAAACGAGCAAAATTTAATACTCCTTTAGATTCGTAAAAGTAAAGGATTGTTAACAAGTCCGCGGAGTGCGGACACAAATGGAAGAGCAGTGTCAATCCTCGATGTTTATAATAATAATAATCTTTTAATCTTTTAATGTCCACTCCAAATTTTATTAAGTTAAACCGAAAATGAAAATTCTTTTTGCCCAATTGATCGTGAGCCCGGCAGCCACTGAGCAGCGCCAGATTGACGTTGCTCTATCCCTTATTGTTGAACGCCAAACAAGGTAGCAGCAACTCCCGTCTTTTAACATCTTTTGGTATAACGCGGCCGGGATTCAAACCCCACGACCTTCTGGTTGTGAGGCGGACGCTCTACTGACTGAGTTCTTTTCAAAAATTTTGAGACGAAAAGCAATATTTTCCTTGTAGCAATTCATTTTTTCCTTGCATCTCTAGAGGTATTGTTCATTTTCAATTTTTCTTTTTTTAGCTTTCAATGTTGAAGTCACTCTCTGTTCCTATGTGTTATTTTCTTACTGTTGAAAAGACTTTATATGCTTCCAGGTGCAGTGTGATGCAGAGGTGAATGAATCAACTGAACTAGTAAAAACATGCAGAAGTTTGTGGAGTGCATTAAAGGCAGAAGAAGCTTCTGTGAAAATGAAGCTTTATTCCTGTAGCCATTAACCATTCTTTTGTTTGAAAAGCTCTGCAGCAGTTGAACAGCGAAAGAAAGAAGAATTTTCAGTTAATCTTTGATACTATACATATTCCTAAAATTTGAGTATGTAAGGGGTCAAACTATTGTTTTCAGGACAGATTAGGGAAAAACAAAAACAAAATTAGAGAAATATGCAGATCAGCCTCGTATGGAAAATAAATGTAGAGAAATAAATATTTATTGTAAAGAGAGAGGTCTATCTCTTGGTAAACTTCTTACATTTTCCCTAACTATTGCAGCCTTTCAAAAAAAATCAGCAAGAAATTCTGTGGCCCCATCAAATGGGTGTGACCGAGAGGATAGCATGATCATTCCAGGCCCAGTATTCCTTGTGGTTAAAAAGGTTTCCAGATTATATTATGATGGGGAAATTACCGAAACTGAACTAAAAAAATCATTGAATTGCCAAGTTTTGACAAATAAATAACCTCAATTACCTCCTCATCCTCCAGGAACTAAACTGTATTTGAGAAGGGTCACATGACTCCTACATGAATGAGGCAATATCCTTCTTTCGAGGTATCCAAGTGGGCTGACTGACAGGGGGGGGGGGGCACACCCTCAGACCAGCTTTTATTTCCCAACATTCTTGACTAATATACAGTAGACTCTCAAAATTCTAACAATTATCAAAGTATACCTTTGTAGGATATATTAGATGATAAAAAATACATACCGGTGTGCAGTCAAACCTGCTTTAACGACCATCTGTATAAAAAGACCATCTGCCTACAAAGACCACATTGTTTGTTTCCCTTTGAAGTGGTTTCTCATTAAAACATGTACTAAAGAAACCTGTACTTAAAGACCAGCTGCCTATAAAGACCACTTTTCTTGACTCCCTTGGGCAGTCTTTAAACCAGTATACATATTTCACTCTATATTATTAAACATGTCTTTAAGTTTTCTGAAGGTTATTTATAACTTTTAGATGCAGCACTTAAATAAACTGGCAGTGGATCGAGCCTATAGAGAGATTTATGCCTTCCCCCCCCCCCCCCCCCCCCCCCCCGCGTTTGAAGTTCAAGACCTCTAAAAACATTGGAATGAGCATTCCTGTGACGTGGGCACATTCCTCGTCTCTGGAAAGTCAGACCGGAGTCTCTGATGGTCAGACTTTCAATGGTAAACGAAAAGGTTAACTGAAAGGTTCAGATTGTAAAGAGAAAGCAATTACACTTGTATGAAATAACTCAAAACTCAAAACTGTTTGTGAAACAAATTATTTCTGTGTTTATTTGATGATATAAATACAAGTTTTGATTTTATATAGTAATGATGCATGAATGAAGATGTGATATTATTGCTGCCAAGAATATTAAGTCATTCATCAGTGAATTCTATTGCATCCTGTTCAAAACTGACTCCAACTAACCACAAAGTTTGGTAAGGATTACGAAATGACAACTACTTTCAATATCAAACGTGGGGATGACCACTTCCCTACTTGGGCACTTTCACATTGTCTTTTGAATTCTCCTGTTCGCTGGTTCTCAGCAGATGGTATTTTAATGTGAAGTTTTTAATTGTGATCGGTTGATTTAAAGTCTTATTTAAAGGCTAATTGGTTTGGGGTGCTATATGTCTTCATAAATGCATTGGCAGCATACAAAACTACATGTAAGTCCTGTTTGCAATAATACTAGTTGTACTTGGTATGAGAAGAAACATTTTGTTTTATTAAATTTCTTGAATAACAGGAGTTAAAAGCAGTCTAAAGTGTACAGACTATCTTATGCCACTAGCTGGAATAAAGAATGAGATTTGATAGTGATACATTCCAGACCCTGCCTGTTCCTTTCATTTTCAATGAAAAGAGGATATTTCATGTAATGACATCCATCTGATGAATTAGTGGTGAATGCAATGAAGCCACAATCGATGGCATACTGGCATATAATTATAATGCTGGCTTCAATGGTTCTTTTTTGTTACCCACATACTTTGATTTTTTTAAATTCAAGTCATTGCTAAGATTATTTTTTAAGTTATGAATACGTTAGCAAAGAAAATAATACTAAGCTGAAATAATTATTGAATATACTTTATGTATATGTTTATGTTTCACTCAATCATTGAGTAATTAATGTAAATATGTATTGAATTATGGAGAAAAAAAACCTCGCTTGAGGATAAGAGGAAAATAAATAATGCTGTCTTCAAAGGAGGGAGAGGGAGAAGCAAAACTAGCCTGAATCATTTTTCACCAATTTCTTAAATAGTGGAAAAAGTGGTATTCAGTTTTTCGCACTGTATAATTTTTGGTTGCCCCTGTCGAGTGCATGCTTCTCTAAAATGATTGGTTGCCCTGAGGGGTAGGTTGGTGGCCCAGGGCCACATGTGACTACCAGTGTCGAGCTCTGTCTTTGAAAAGAAAATTTGAGACTCACCTGCTAAGCAACATGTGAAGAGAGCAATGTAGAATAGAACCAACAGAGCAGGAGTGTCCATTTTTAGAGATGTTGTGCCAAAAGAAGATAGAAGAAGATAGGACCTGGGTGTTGAACCAGCGACCTGTTCACAGGATGGGGTTCAATATCTGCTACCACTTTCCCTTACTTCTAAAAGGCTCCTGCTGTGAAATGAGATTATATACATAGGGTCAGACATTTAAAAACAAAATTACAACATTTTATAACAATCACAAACCTTTCAAAAAGCAACAGAAGGGCAATTTCGATACACAATTGAATTGCCTTTAGAAATCATGTTCAGATTCATATGTGATCATTTTATTTGTTTACACTTTTCAAAAGGTTACACATAAGGCCATTAAAAATTGCCTAAGGTTGATTTTTCTAGTCTTTATGATTGTGTCTTTCTTTTGACCAGATGGTCATAGCACCTGACCATAACTTTTAATTCTGAATACCCATTCTTTCAAACTGTTTGTATTCCATTTGGCCTTGCTTTTCACATGGTGCACAAACATGTTCATATGGGGAGCATGCAAGGGGGCACAAAGGGGCCATAAAGGGGCCAGGCCCCTCCCCCGCCCCATTAATCTCCCACTAAAAATAAATCATCCACAGAACGAAGGAGAGGGTCTCGGTCTCGTTGGTGTGACAGACTAAAGACATATCAGGCTGTAACGCTCCTTGGTGTGACTGAGCTTCAATATCCAAAGAAAGTGAGGATACCCCTAATAAAAACTTGAATATTCCAGTGTAACTTTTTTACAAAGTGGTATTTAAAAAAACACAACCTTGAAGCAATGATAGAGTTTGAATTCTGTGCTATATTACAACATATTCACTCCAAGAAAACAGAGTAAGGCAATAGAAATGTTTTATGTATTTCAAAGTGTGTACTCGATGTGTCGGATACTGTATGACACAGAAGTATACAATGTAATTAAATCTTTCCTCAGTCTATGTATGAGTGGGTGTGTACAATAATGTGTTCATGTTTTCCATTGTACTCTCATACTCCCCCAAAAGGTCAAAGAGTTAATAACATTAACTCAACAAGGCGATGGTGTGGGTTGGTACCTAGAAAGGTGATTTGTTAACCTTTTAATAGTTTGTTATGCTTTATTTAAACTCTTTGTAACATTACTAACCCCTTTTCATATATCATCTACCAGTACCGTAAAAGCTATGGTAAAATAATAACTCATTCATGAAACCTCAGCTATATGCCTATACTACTACTGCAGATTTGTTTTACTTCCATATTTGAGAGTTTATTTCTTTACAAGACATATGGTACGTTTGATAGATACTAAAAAAGCTCATTCCTTTACAGAAAATCACAATAATTATATACTCTGGAAGATGCCAGTACGAACAGAGGTTAATTCCAGAGATCTAGGTGCGAAATGACAACAGGAAAAATGGCAAAGATAACAGTGAAGATTAGTGGTACAGTGTCGTTTCCTTTGCTATATGATACAAGTAATCAACACGGTTTGTGCGATGATAATTTTGTAGTGTGTGAAAGTTGTGTGAAATTAAACAAAACTGCATTGCTGTTAAAGTTCAAATGAGTATTATAATGATTAAATAGCTACATGAAAACCTTTCTGAGTTCATTGAAAAATCATTAACAAAAAATCTACATTAGAGTATCTTTATTAAATATATCAATTTCACAAAAGTGACAGAACTAGATTGTATAGTTTTGTTCTTTCCTGTAACTGAACTTAATGAACTTTTTCATGATAAACTTTTGATCATTTTTAGACCCACCCCCGCCCACATTAAAAGTGATTAAATTGGGGTCCACATCCATCGAGTCGCTTAATTTCAGGAAAAAGTCATATACACCTACATGTTCATGTATATACGCCCACACAGCTTCAAATTACAATCTATTCAGTGCTACAATTTAATCATGCGATATAGAAACTTTGACTTATGTTTACATACACAACTCCACGACAACACACCATCAGCAGCTGTGCCACTGATAAAAGGGGAGAAGTTCCCGCAAAGAAACAAATCGTTGTCATAACCAATGACCCAAATCACTCATACATTAATCTAAAGATATAACCATATATAACCACAAGTGCCTCTCTGCAACAATAGGCAAAACCCACCACAACGCCATCAATACTTTTCAAACAATATCATACCTAATCTTTTCACAAAAGGCCCGTCCTCATCAGACTGAAGTTGCAAAATAACCCACTAGTTTAACTAGCCCGATCTCAAATTAGCCAGCTAATTTGCATCATCAGCCCGCAGTTGCAATTAGCAGGCTATTTGGTCGACAAAATATCCCTAGGAATCTGGTCTTGTTTCCAAAAAAGAGGGCTAAATGCTAATTTGCGCCCGTCTGAGCTAGTTTGAGATGAGTGTATTGGTCTGGTGAGGACGCAATTTCGAGCTTCAGAAAATATCCAGAGTCTTGCAACTTTGGTCTGATGAGGACAGACCTAAATGTCTAGTTGCTATCATCCCCCGCATGAACGCCTGGGGTAAAAAAGAAATCCTTTTCAAAAGTTGAGCAGCCAGTGCTACTGTTTGATGCTCTGTGGAGCAAGGAGCTTGTTCAGACCAGAAAAAATATCATATAAAAAACATCGTGTAAAGAATCATCATATACAAATGGGGCATATGCACAGGCTAATAACATTGCACAAATAAAAGTCACATCGTTTGAAGAAACTTTTTTAAACGAGGTCAGGTGATATGACCAGGCGCGGATCCAGGATTTCTTATGGGAGGGGGCCCAACTTTTTTTTTTTTGCTCCCGAAAATTTGAAAAACGCGCCGGCCAAAAATTCGCTCAGTGGGGGGGGGGGGGGGAGTGAGCACATTTTTTTTTTGGATCCTCAAAAAAATTTCAATTTGCGCCCCCCCCCTTGAGCGCCAGGGGGGGGGGGGCCCAACCCCCCAAAAAGGTAAAAATCACGTGATTTTACATGATTTTTTTCTCAAGGGGGGGGGCCCGGGCCCCCCGGGCCCCCCCTGGATCCGCCACTGGATATGACAACTGGCCAATCATACATGCTCTCTAGAGTCTAGCCATAAGGCCCACTCACTCAGTTATACAGACTTACAGTTTTTGTGCCCTGTTCGGACGAGGACAGGTCCCTGATGTTTGATGCATTTATCATTTGACTTGGTGCCCAAACATTGTTTTCGCTATGTGTTTTTTGTACCCCCATACAATGAATCTTAGTAGTCTGAATAAGGGTAATCCTAGGCATATTACTTCTAAGAAATCCATCAAAGAAACAAACAAAAATTGGTGGCATAGATCCAAAGCACAGATACATAAAGATGGAAATTATAACCAGTAGGTCTAGGGCCTACATGTCACAATGCATAAAATAAACCCGCAATGAGTATGCATGGGCCTTCCACAAAATATCATAAATAGGCCCATTTACTCAGCCCCAAAACCATTTAGAAAAATCACGGGGGGGGGGGGGTGCAGCCATTTACACTCGTGGAAAAACACATTGGTGTTTGCTCGATCGTTCTGTGTTTTTTTGTGTGAGCAGAGCTCTGCATGTGATCGCACAGGAGCTATGAGAGTCACGTAACCAAACAACGGAAACATTCACCAATGTTCTGAGAGCAAGTACTTACACTGCAAATACCAGTGAAATGTTTGCATGAGTTTTAAAAAAACACTACAGAGGTGGGTTTTTCAATTTCGGAATGTGAGAAAATTGATGATTTTTGTTGCAGTGTAAATGCAGCTACTGGATGCAATAAAAAACACACTGGGAACGTTGTTTATAGCATAGGCCAGCAAGCTCAAAGAAAAAGAAGTTAACAAGCTATATCTAGTCATCATAAATCAAAGAAAATAGGAACAGGATGCCAAAGAAAGGGTGCAAAAGTAGAAATAAGGAATATATAGAGATAACTATAATGATTGGAAGCGTTATAGAGAAAGATAAAGAAGAGAAGGAAGAAGAGTAGGAAAAAGATATTAAATAAAGCAAGCTCAAAGTAAAAGAAGTAGTTATATCAATAGTTTGAAAATATTTGTGGCATTCAATGTTCAAACTATTGAAATTTCTCCCAGGAAGCATTACATTTATTAAAAAATAGTTATATCAAGTCATCATAAATCAAAGAAATTTGTTACAGGTGATGGATGCCAAGGCAAGGGTGTAAAAGTAGAGATAAGGAATAGAGAAAACTATAATGGTTGGAAGCGTTATGGTGAAAGAATAGAAGAGAAGGAAGAAGAGTAGGAAAAAGATAAACAAATATATAAGAGAGGGCAAAATGAGATTGAAAGAAAGACAGACAAAATAACAGAATAAAAATATCTCTGAGAACAGAAAAGAATGAATATAAGAAAAGGAGACAAGTATCTCAGGGCGCGTTCATGCTTGATTTTGAAGGCAGAATGAGCGATTTGTAACGCTCATCGTAAACGCTCATCGTAATCGCAGTTCCACGGTGCACTGTTCATGCTCACTTCTCCAGGCAATTCTCCTTGGGTGGCCTTCAGCTGGATTCGCAAACCTGTGTGCGCATGCTACGTAGACCCACTAGAGGTCAGTGCGTTTACCCCATTTAAATGCGTTTACAAATTGTAAACGCATCTTTTTGTGAGTTTACGATCGGCGATCATGATCGCCGTTTTTCGGTGATTCTACAAAAGTGAGCATGAACGCAATCGTGTTTTAAACTAAACGCGTAACAGATGCCTGATTCTGGCCGTCAAAATCAAGCATGAACGCGCCCTCAAAGATACATAAAGAATGAAAGAGAAGAAAAATGACAAACTATCTCAAATAAAAACAGAACCAAAAAATCAAAGATGTAAAAATGATTGAGAGAGAAAAATGATTGAGAGGGGAAAATGATTGAGAGGGGAAAATGTTTGAGAGGGGAAAATGATTGAGAGAGAAAAATGATTGAGAGGGGAAAATGATTGAGAGAGAAAAATGATTGAGAGGGGAAAATGATTGAGAGAGAAAAATGATTGAGAGGGGAAAATGATTGAGAGGGGAAAATGAATGAGAGGGGAAAATGATAGAGAGAGAAAAATGATTGAGAGGGGAAAATGATTGAGAGGGGAACATGATTGAGAGGGGAAAATGATTGAGAGAGAAAAATGATTGAGAGGGGAAAATGATTGAGAGAGAAAAATGATTGAGAGGGGAAAATGATTGAGAGAGAAAAATGAATGAGAGGGGAAAATGATTGAGAGAGAAAAATGATTGAGAGGGGAAAATGATTGAGAGGGGAAAATGAATGAGAGGGGAAAATGATAGAGAGAGAAAAATGATTGAGAGGGGAAAATGATTGAGAGAGAAAAATGATTGAGAGGGGAAAATGATTGAGAGAGAAAAATGATTGAGAGGGGAAAATGATTGAGAGAGAAAAATGATTGAGAGGGGAAAATGATTGAGAGGGGAAAATGAATGAGAGGGGAAAATGATTGAGAGGGGAAAATGATTGAGAGGGGAAAATGATCGAGAGGGGAAAATGATTGAGAGGGGAAAATGATTGAGAGGGGAAAATGATTGAGAGGGGAAAATGATTGATAAATAAAACAAGAAGTAAAGAAATGTGCATGGAACAATCAAGAAGAAAGAAAAGATAAATGAAGAAAAGAAAAGAAAGAAGGGTGAATGGAAAGAAAGATAGGGAAGTAGGACAAATGGAAAGCAAGAGAGTGGATTATAACGACAGAAAAAAGATAACTAATAATGCTTACCTAAAAGTAAAATCCAGTCTCAGAATAAAGGAATAAAGCAATCACTAGCATCAAAAGAGAACAACCTTATCCAACTCTGACATCATCAATTGACTTTACTGAACTGATACCACAACCTGACCAAAGAGGGAACCCAGTCAGACACCGAGAGAAGGAATGCATTGCACCAGTAACGAGCAACAGATCCTGTCCGCAAGGTAGATACCCGATCTGCTCATTGAGCTTGAAGGCTTACATTCAGTTTCCTTTTATACTGACACCCGAATGACAATTAGGCAATTGCATACGCAGGTAGTACTAGTGAAACAGGAAGACGTGATGGTGTTGGTATCTTTTCCGCTAAATAACACTGTCCTAGATAGTACTACAAGTTGACAAACATACAAGCAGTTGCTAGGGTCTACTATTCAGATACAAGAAAAAAGTGAGATTTGAATTGTGATTCTAATTTGACTTCTTATGAACCCACTGTGGGATATATGAAATGAATGTTCTGACCTTGTTTCTTATGACCTATATTTTGGAACAGAGTGCCATCAAATATCTACAATTATTCCCAAAACATACAGGGGCAGTAAGATTTGATTTTAAATCCAAATCTCAGAAATTGGTGAGAATTTTTGTTGAGTTGGGAAAAGACAGATTCTAATTGCACTTTTTCTCACCATTCTGACTATGTGTAAATGTCCCTGAGTCATTACAAAACGTACTTTATTTGCTTCGTGTAAACCTTGTTTAAATATGATACTTTGTGCAAACATGATATGAAGTATGCATAGTATGTAAATAGAACCACAAACATAAGGGCCCGAATTCACAAAGGAGGTTTGTCGACAAACCTTGCTTTGTGAATTCGGGCCTAGAGGTTTACTAACTTTTATAATACTAGTGGTAGACCAAAGTTTGGAGGAATGGTTGTGACATGAGTAACCTTTTTGTAGAATAGATCATTGTTATGCTTAAAAATTCAAATCTAATTAACAATGATTAACACAGAGAGTTATTATTGTGCCTAAAATCAAAAGGTTGTCCAAAATAATCCACTGCTCTTCAATAAAAATGTTAAAATTGACTGAAATGAGTGATAATGCTTATAGTTTACAAAACATTATCTACATATAGGGCTTTGCTAAAAGCTTTAAAATGGCTCTGAAAAAGAACTGTGGAGATTCTATGCACTAGCTGTTCACACTTGTAAGCAAAAGAATGGATTTGAAAGCTTTGACCAATCACAGCAATGCTAAGAGTGAAAAGAATTGTGGAGATTCTATGCACTAGCTGTTCACACTTGTAAGCAAAAGAATGGATTTGAAAGCTTTGACCAATCACAGCAATGCTCAGAGTGAAAAGAATTGTGGAGATTCTATGCACCAAACTGTTCACACTTGTCAGTTACAAGTACAGTTATTGTATTTAAAACAATGGAAATGAAAGATTTGACCAATCATAGCAATTCTAAGAGTGAAAAGAATTGTGGAGATTCTATGCACTAGCTGTTCACACTTGTAAGCAAAAGAATGGATTTGAAACTTTGACCAATCACAGCAGTACCGAGTGAAAGTAACTGAGAGCTCATTGGCACTGAGTTATTCACACTGTCTTGCATGTCAAAGCAGTTTTTCACACTTTTTTTCTTTCTTTTTTTCTTCATATTTTTCCCTCCCTTTCACACTTGCATGTAAAAGCATGCAATCTTTTTCAAATAGAAATGAAAGTTTTAACAGAGAAAAGAATTTGAAACCCCTCTGCACTATATTAGCTGTTCACAATTCTCAGCAAGATTATTATGTTCAGAATAATAGATGTGAAAACTTTGACCAATCCCAGCAATGATGAGTGAAAAGATTTTCAAAAACTCTGATGCACTGAGTTTAACCACTTGAGAGCAATGCTTCTACAACAATAGAAGTGAAAGATTTGACCAATCACAGCAATGCTAAATTCGTCGCTGTTTTCACAAAGTGACGGTAGTGAAAAAAAATTGCATTCACTTTGCGTTACGATTTTCCTCACTACCGTCATTTCGTCCCTATTTTCATGAAGTGACGGTAGTGAGGAAAATCGTAACGCAAAGTGAATGCAATTTTTTTTCACTACCATCACTTTGTGAAAACAGCGACGATTTGTTCACACTTACACCTAATGACTTGTAAAAGTACACTGGTGTTCTTGTCATACTTCTAAGATCTTGACACATAAATTCAATTTCTATTTATATATAAAACAGAGAAAAGGGGGATAAGACAGGGACAGGGAGAGAGGGCAAAGAAGACAGAGAGGGTAAGAGAGAGGAGAGGAGGGAGAGAGAGAGGGGGGAGGGGGAGGGGGAGGGCAAAGAAAGACAGAGAGGGGGGAAGAGGAGGGGAGAGAGAGAGGGGAGAGAAGAGGGGAGGGGAGGGCAAGAGAGAGGAGGGCAAAGAAGACAGATAGAGGGAGAGAGAGCATGAGAAAAGGTAAAAGTACACTGGTGTTCTTGGCGTACTTCTAATATCTTGACACATAAATTCAATTTCTATTCATATATTAAACAAAGAAAAGGGGAGAAGAGACAGGGACAGGGAGAGAGGGCAAAGAAAGACAGAGAGGGGGAGAGGAGGGGGAGAGAGAAAGGGGGAGAGAAGAGGGGAGGGGGAGGGGGAGAGAGAGGAGGGCAAAGAAGACAGATAGAGGGAGAGAGAGCATGAGAAAAGGTAAAAGTACACTGGTGTTCTTGGCGTACTTCTAATATCTCGACTCATAAATTCAATTTCCATTCATATATAAAACAGAGAAAAGGGGGGATAAGACAGGGACAGGGAGAGAGGGCAAAGAAAGACAGAGAGGGGAGGATGGGTAGAGAGAGGAGGGGGAGGGGGAGAGAGAAGAGGGGAGAGAGAAGAGGGGAGAGAGAGGAGGGGAAAGAGGAGGGGAGAGAGGAGGGGAGAGAGAGGAGGGGGAGAGGAGAGAGAGAGGAGAGGAGAAAGGAGGAGAGGAGAGAGGTGGAAGAGGGGAAAGAGCATGAGGGACAGAGAAGGAGATAAATGAGCAGGAAAGAAATTTTAGAAAGATATGAATGGACATTACGATTCCATGCCCTGTTAAAGTGCAATAATTTGATTACTTGTTGATCCTCCCATCATCCTGTATATTTCCTACTGAACTCTATTTATTTGGACGGTCATATCTCAGACTCAGCTAATACTTAACATATTCAATTGGTTTTCAATATTTGGACATTATTTTTAATGCTCTTTCGGAATGAAGTTGAAATTAAGAAATTCTAAAAATAGATTTTTATGATGTCACAGCTTGGGTACTCTATTAAGTCAATGAAATGTGCTTGACACTATTATGATGCCACAAAGGACAAGCATTATCCCTAGATAATGAAGGTTGATGTGATGGATCTTCATATCTATGCCTCCATTTTCTCCTGACCCTGCCCTTGATTTCAAATATTTTACTGGTAATGCCGGCTGGTTATCCTACCAAGATGGACAGGCCGATATATCCATTTACAAGCGCTGCTCTGCAGGCAATCGCATAGAAGGGAGGGGAGTCATGTGACCAAACACCAGATTTCTTCAACGATGTTTTGAGAGCGGGCATTCACACTGCAAAAATCAGTGAAATGTGTTTTAAAAAAACATTCAAGACTCAAAAGGTGTTTGTTTTTTTTTATTTTGGTTTTTCGGTATGTTTGCTGGTCGATATGAAGTTGCTTACAAACTTCCCCAAAAAATACTTGAATGTGAGAAAAATCCAATGTTTTATGCTTGCAGTGCAATGTGTTTGTTCATTCTTATTATGTACCTGTCTCTTGCCATGCTGTGCTTTTTATATGAATGGTTGAATAAATAATAATAATAATAATGTAATAATAATTACCGTAATATCTTAGTACGTAATAATAAAAATAATAGTGTAAACTGATAGATCGCAAACACCATCCAAGGACGCTCATGGCGCAAGCTCAGCAACAGTTCTCTTAGATACAAGTAAAGTGAATGTTTATTTGATAATAGAGTTATACCATCAAAAATTCAAAAACAATATGTTGTATTGTCATCAACTCTTCGACTGGAGACTGAACTTTCCTTGTATCCGGGAGTTTGGTACGATTGCATGTTGAGAAATGAAATTTGACACCCAATGCAAGGATGAGGTAATGAGATGTTGGTCACCTTCGAACTTCAACTTCACTGCACTATTAAAATAAAGTCTGTCAAACTAACTGAGGCCCTGCTAAAGTACTAAGTATAGGTGCTTTTAAACCTACAAAGTGACCTTCGTATTGATTTATTGTCAGAAATCTTGACAAGATCGATCTTTAAAAATTACAAGGTAAAGCGCAACCCATTATCACAAGACTATTTCTGGTGGCTAATATTACAAGACTATATAGCAGGGCTCCACGTTTTCATTGAGAGTTCTGGGGAGTGTTTCACAAAGACTCAGATCGACTTTAAGTTGGACATAACTATGGCAGGCCGGCCATTCATGCCACTGTTTGCTCTCACCAATATAATCTTTAGATGATATTTTTTCCTTCTATAATGAATTATAACAAAATTGAAAATTTTTGTAGATTTGTGAGCATTTTTTTTTTAAGTGCCTTGAGAGACCAATGCCAGTAAATGGTGAGAGCAAACAGTGGCATTTGAAGCAACAGGTAAAGTAATAAATAATAATAATAATAATAATAATAGCAACAAATACAATTTTTATAGTTCTAAATGGAATGTTTACTTAGTGTTTTGGGGGAGGGAGGGGGTCATAATTCCTGTTTTATTATTTACCGAGTATCTACAAAGAAGAGTCATAGACAAAGTTGGGTAAATATTGAAATAGAAATAGTGTTATCACTGATCTAATGACGTTTATTTCGTTGATTCATGTTGTATGCACGTCAATGGCATAACAGAAAGATATGTTAATAGATCTTATAGTATCTTACACTATACTTGATTGAACTTAAGAGAGATTGTCATTGAAGCCATTTTCAAGGGATCTTTAAAATGCTTATGCAATTGTTAGTGACAGATACATGTATAGTTGGTATTGCTGTGCCCTTAGAGTGCCTTAGATTTCATTCCTAGTAGGATTGTGCTTTGAGTTAATATCTTGAGAGTGCTGCCAAAGATAGATAAGT